CCCTTCCACCCGCTGCGCAGACAACCCCTCTCCCCCCCTCTCCCTCCTGTCTGCCAACCGCTTTTTCCCTCTGATCTTTGCGAGCGTAGTTCGTCTCCGCCATCTTGCACGTGTGAAAGCTAAATAGTGGAAAATTGTCCCCATTAGAGATGAGTCTGTTTACATCAAGCTGATTAGGTAACTTCTAATAAAGCTGTAATATTTAACTTTTAAAATCAAAATCGTTACTTGTTTCTCTGTTTGGATCAGCTACAGGCCGTATTTTGTACAGATTCTTAGTTCTTAGATAATTTATAAAGGGAAACAAAGGACGCTCTTGCTTGGATCATGTTGGTGTATTTGATTTGCAGACTGCAGGCTGCAGACTGCAGACTACATTTAAGGCTAAATGGTACTCCAGTTAGCCTGAATATCACTCAGGTTAGCCTGAATAGTTCTCACATTAGCCTGTTTACCTTTCGCTTTCAAAAATGGAAAGGGGAATACGACATAACCTTCATATATTAGTTGAAAATTCTGCAGTCTGTAGTCTGCAAATGTCATACACTATGATCATGTCTACTAAAGGCACCCACAGTAGAGTGTCAACCAGTGTATTACATTTGCAGACACCAGTTGCAGACTACACTTAGGCCTAAATAGCGCTCAGGTTAGCCTGAATAGATGTCAGGTTAGCCTAAATAGTGCTCAGCTTAACCTGAATAGTGCTCAGTTTAGCTTGTTTACTGTTAGCTTTTGGTAACATAAATGGAAGTACATTATTAGGTAAAAAATCTCCAGTCTGCAGTGTGCTGTCGACAGTTTGCAATCTGCAGATGCCATACACCAAGTGTCAATGGATATCAGCGATCGACATTCCATTGAAATTACCCTTATCTACAAGCATCGGTACAGCTACATGCAGACTACTCTAAACGTAGAAATTCAAAATTCAAAATGGCAGCAGCCAAAAGCTTCCTCTTGTTTTCAGTAACTTCACCCTTGTATGTACAATTTCCTTCCTTAGGTTTTAGGACTTGGTTTGTCTAAACATCCAAACACCATTCTCTCCTGATGCAATACAACACAAGCTTGGCTTACATGTAGTTGCAGAACCAGTAAGGAAAGCAGACTTTTAGTGAAGAAGAGGTAAGTTCTCCAATCAGTAAGCACTTTGATTATCCATTTAAGGTTACTATGATACAAATAAACTTTAGCAGATGTGTTAAATTTAGCTATAGGAATAAGCTTAATGCCAATTCTGTATGGATTTATTTTAAAAGTCAGTGCTGTGGTCTAAGAAGAATTACTAGGAGCCTAAAAGTGCCCAGCACTTCAGCTTATATGAAAAAAGTAAGTTTTTGCAGTCGCTTAAAGGCAAAGTTAGTTGCCTGTGGCACCTGGGTGCTTCTAGAGCACAGGCCTGGAAGTACACTTTGATGACATGAAAAATATTAGCTAAAACTTTCCAAATGCACAGCTACAGCTGTACTCAAACTGCAGGCAGAAGATCCAATACAAAACTAAAAATATCTCAACAATAAACCATCTGTGCTTGTGTCCTGATCACTGCTTCAGGTAACAACCGTGTGACATCTTGATGAGTCTGGTGACAGCTGTCAGTTAGAGCTTAATAATGACTTTGTTTCAAAGATTCAATGTTTCCAATTAATTTTTTTAATTTTTTTTTTCATAAGGTCCCATAGCAATCTATCTGAAAATTGAGAAAAATCTTTTTCATTAAAATTGCCAATTAAACAAATAGATTGTTAACAAATGTTGCTGTGCATCTGTTCAGTAGTAGATTGCAGATGACGTCAAAATGTGGTGACAAAAAAAACGGGGCACAAGGCGATAGCTGAGTGTGTCACTGATGTTCTTGCCACATTTTGATGTCTTCTGTGAACTTTTACTGAACAAGTGCATGGCAACATGGAGTCTGTTTTAACTAGTAGAGGAGCCAAGAAGTGTTTTAATCATCCAGTCATAAGTAAGAACTAATCAAAATGTGAGAATAATTTGACTTGCCTAATTTAGGTTATATGGACACCTGAAGCAAAACTGTCAATGGTTTAAAGTTTTATTGGTATTAAAGTTAAATAGATCAGCCAAAAATGGGTTATGAGAGAATACTAAAGCAAACATTGAGTTCCCAGGGTAATAGTATTATAATTGCTAAATGGGAATCGGCTGAACCAGATAGCTATTTTTTTCAGGTCCAAACTTGTGTGCTTCAATTTAACTTGATATATTAGGCAGATGAATCAGTTTGACCTTTAAAACTAATGTTGTTTTTTGTTTGATCAAGGGATCTGTAACACTGGGAAGATAATAGAAGAGGGATTGGGACTTATGTGAAGACCCCTAACAATTTCTGGAGATTCAAATTAAGCATCGTATCTTAACGATCACTGAGCTGGACTATCAGAGCAGTATGGTAAGTGTACATATTGGCCTGTGATCACAGAGTTACTGGGGACATTTCAGTTCTAGATGTACGATATGACAAGAAAGATAAGTCTAACATCAGAATCACACTAACAAGATATTATCTAAGAAACTTTTTTAGGAACCTGGACTTTTTGCATGTACCAAATGGACCTTTTGAACAAGAGATATGTGTATAATGAAAGAACTGGGCCAGATGGGGATTGGTTCTACCTAGCAAATTCTCTTTTTGAATTTTCTGATTGGTGAAGCGAAGAACTGGTCCCACAAAAAAAACAAGTTACAAGATAAGAAACCTGTTTTGGAGCCTGGACTGTCTGCATGCACTGAATGGATCTTGAGCTTTGTACAAGAGATGGGTGTGAGAACTGACCTGTAAAAGGGTGGTTCCATTCAGCAAATTCTCTTCCTGAGTTTTTTGATCTATGAGGCAGAGGCTTGGTCCCACAAAAAAGGTCAAAAATTAGGACTTGTTTGGGAACTTGGACTGTCCTCATACGTTGAATGGATCTTGAGCTTTTAACAAGAGATCAGGGTGTAAGAACTGACTTGTAAAAAGTTTCTTGATCTGTGACGTAGAGACATGGTGTCATGTTTGGATGTTTACTCGTCAATCAAAAACGCACATTTTAAAGAGTTCTGGATTCTGACTTCACAATATAATAACTCACTGAGGGCACTCTGAGAAAGGTATGCAAAATCAAAACGAGGAATCAAAGAATTGTGAATCGAACCGAATGGTCATAATCGCAATTAATGGAGAATTCGATTAATCGTTGCACCACTAGTGCTGAATGGATCAGTTGAGCATAGTACAAGAGATATCTTGGGTAAAAGAACTCACCTGTAAAAGGGTTGGTTCCATCCAGCAAAATCTCTTCCTGAGTTTCATGATCTGTGAGGCCCAGACTTGGTCCCATAAAAAACAGGTGAAAAATAAGAACTTGTGTTGGAGCCAGGACTGTCTTCATGGGCTGAATGGATCTTGGGCTTCGTACAGGAGATGGGTGTAAGAACTGGCCCTCAAGGGAGCTGGTTCCACCAAAAATCTCTTCCTGAGTTTCTTGATCTATGAAGCATAGACTTGGTCCCACAAAAAATGGTACAAAATGAGAACTTGTTTCGGAACCTGGACTGTCTTCATGACTGAATGGATCTTGAGCTTTGTACAGGAGATGGGTGTAAAGACTGACCTGTAAATGGGTTGGTTCCACCCAGCAAATTCTCTTCCTGAGTTTCTTGATCTGTGATGCAAAGACTTGGTCCCACAAAAGAGATACAAAATATTAGGACTTGTTTTGAAACCTGGACTATCGAATGGATTTGGGCTTTTTACAAGAGATGGGTGTAAGAACTGACTTGTAAAAGGTTGCTTCCACCCAGCAAATTCAGATTCTGTGACGAGCCCAAAGAGCGTCTACATAGGAGGTTAGAACAGAACTGTAGTACCCATTTATACTCCTAGGCTGAGACAGCCGCTTTCTGAGGGTAAAGTGTCTTACCAGGGTACATTGGCCAGGTACCTTGTGTTAGGAACCAGTCAGCACACAATGCCAGCCATTACTCTGATCTAAATCTTTCTGACCAGTCTTTCTCATTTTCAGGCGGATACAAACTAGGACAAAGCAAGAAGAGGATGAACGCATTTACCGTCATTCAAGATTGATGATTTTATCGCAGTCCAGGACCCAGGTAAACACTTGTTCTTATGCATTGATCGATCCGAAACGTAACCTGACTCAGTTGCTCTGTTATCCTCCTGAAATTAGATTTGAGAGAACTCTTGTCAACTGGCACAGCTTTATAAGTTCCATACTATTTTAGATTTATCCACATTGGAAGGAAGTGTATTGGGTCTGTGTAATTATCTTTAAAAGTTTCACTGTGATTTCCTTCGTTTCGACATGCTCCGAATAAAATATAGTAGCCAAACGCTCACATGAAAGCAAAAACAAAGGTGTGGCTGACTAGGGCCCTTTAAGTAGAATTTTCTGTCGTTCGCGGCATTTTTGGGGGAGGGTGGCGTAGATAACTATAATAATTTTTCAGAGGATTATATGCGATTGAATATCGTTTTCGTTCACTTTTCTTATGATAACCCAACTCAGGAGAAAATGCGTGAAAAGCCATTCAAAATACAGAAACAATCTCCTTGTTTTTTCGAGTTATAGGAATGCGAGGCCCAGGCGAATGTTTCCACATCTTTTTCGTGTTCGTCAAACTTTCACAAGTGTTTCTGTAATTTGACAGAAACATGGAGAAAGTGTTCTATATTTCGTTGCAAAAATGTTGCGAGAGTAAGAGAGGAAAATTATTCGTTTGTTTCGGTTAATCAAAATGTAAATTTTCTTTGCTCGTGCCTTCATTGTTCTATAGGACCTTCGTCACTTGTGGTCACGTGACAAACCAAACGCGATTGCCGTTTGAGAATGTTATAAACGTTTTGAAATAATTTAAGAACTATGGCTCCTACTGTGAACACAATAAGAATAATAATCGTCCAACGTGGATATTTTGGTAACCTTGCTTAGCTGCTGTCAAATAATTATAAATTTAATCCGGTGGAATTATTCATACCTTCATCTCAATGCTGATTTACCGCCCTGACTGAGTTGACTTGTAGTCAGTCCGAGAAATTACTAGTCAACCGCGGACAGTCCCTGTTTGTTTGTTTATTTTTATGATTTTTTTGAAAGGGGCACAAACAGTAAACAAGCGCGTCCATTGAAAAATAAACAAATAGATAGAAATATAAAAAGGAAAGAAAAAGGAAAAAAAATAAAGATCCGAGCTGAAGTTGAGCCCATGACCGTCTTGAATTCCGGATTGAAACGCGACAGTGATCTCCACTACACCACGTAATACACATCTGATTGTCGACACAAATAATTTATCAAATATCACAGCTTCTGTCTATTTAGCATTTGAATGCTGCAAGACTTTTTGTGAATATGTCATTGATATCTTGAAAGTTTTAAATTCAGAACGAAGGATACATTTTGGCCTAAATTATGCGTTTGCAATTTAACAAAATTTTACGGCTTTCAAGAAAGTACGATTGGAAATGGTTCCTGGTTGTCGCCTTTCGTGACACTTTCGATCGTTTATCGACATGAAGGTGACTGTTATATACACGTAGGCGCATCAGAGATTCGGTGCACCCGACAGTGTAAACGACAGAATCAAAGTATTGTCAGTACGTGGAGGGGAACTTTTCTTTAAAGAAGAGACTTTTCTTCGGGAGCGTTTCAGTTACTTTTGGTGGGGGCGGGGGTATGGGGGGATGGGGG